GCAGTAGTACTAGTAGTAACACTGGTAGTAGCACTAGTAGTAGTAGTAATCTTATCAATCATTCTTTCAAAGAGATTGATTTCAAAAAAAAAAACAGATTAAAAATATGGAATACATGCAACTTGATAATTGGCTGTAATAATAATAGTAATATTAATAATAATAATAATAATAATAATACTAATAATAATAATAATAATAATTGATAGATCCTACTATCCTAGCAAAATCTGTTCCTAACCTTTACATCCTTATCGTTACTCGTTGTTATCACGTTATCAATCCCCAAAGAACCGTTACTTATCACAGTACAGAGCATATCGACAACTTCCTTTATCACATCGTTCACCGAATCATCTTCACTTCCATAATACATTAGCGGTACTTTTCTGCAAATTGCAATCATGCTTTAATCTATTCGGGATCCATGATCATAATCACAAATATTACAATGCATTCTCGCGTCATACCATAAATGCTAAAACCACGTTAACAAATCATCAGTATATCATCTAAATTAATCCGCTTTATTTCCTTATTGCATGGTACAAGTAAGAACGTATAAATATTCTGAACGGCTTAAAGATTTAAATAATTACTTCCTTCCATCTGTACAAATTCAACTGCTCATTCAATGCTACACAAAATCAAATATATGGTAAGAATGACAAAGGGAACTGATGAAGGGAATTATGAGATGACAGCATAAAAATGACCGATTAAAGAGAAGTTGAACATAATAGAAGTCATGTGTAAACATGGTAGATACAATGAAAGCATGAAAGTTATAATGTAGAAATAAGGAAAACATGTACAACCATTCTTCATTATTTCTACTATTAATTTTCATTTTCGAAAATTTCATCGAAACATATAGCAGAAATTCGCATAGCTAAGCAGATAACAATGTAAATGAGACATAACATCATTTAATAAACCCTGACCTCTAACCTTTCATGCCATGATATGAACAAACACAGTACAATATCGCTTAGCAAAGCACAATCCATTTGAAATTTATTTTCTTTGCAACAATAAAATGAAAGCTATAAATGATAAGAGAAATGGAATGACTAAATAATAAGTGAAATGTGCAACACGCATTTTTTGATGCTTGCAAATTTTTGTAAGAAAAATTAAATTAAACCACAATTACTTGTAAATGTTTCACGTAAAAACTTACGTAAAACAGGAAAATATACCGTTTCTTGGCTCTGAAATTCTCATACTAACCCTTGCTCTCGCCATAATTTTACTAATTTCTAACTGTTTAAAAAAATTACTTATATGTAATCTCCGAACTTACTCTTATCTATAAGCAGAACTGACAAGAAAAACCAATCTTAATGAGACTCCTAAGTAAAAACCAAATCCTCCAAGCCTGACCCCAACCCTAGTCCCTAGTTGGTATTTCGCGGCCTACGCATTCCCACGTACGCGGGAGACGGTCATTTGAACTTTCTCGACCGCTTAACTCCACGGATAAGTTGCGTTTCTTGGGTGGTAGGTTTGGGCTGGTCTTCTTTCTTGGCTTTCTTTGGGAATATTTAATTGCTCTAAAGTGTGGGTAAATTGAGTGGTTTAAACCACTTTGTGTTTAAAAGAAGTTTAAACTCTTTACCCAGACATGAGTTAATTTACCTTTTCAGAGCGTGGACAATGGCCGAAGATGATGACTTAAGTACACGATATGCTTTCCTGTTGCAACCCATAAGAGATTTGCAGAAAAACTGGGATATTGATATTAGCCATTTATTGGAAGAATTCGTTGAAAGGTTGCCATCTTTTATCCATTATTACCAATAGATACAACTTTGAAAATTATGCCCTACCCAATGATTGAAAGGAGGTAAAAGGATGATTGGGATTATTATATTGTCATCATTATCTTTAATGATCATTTAATTAGTTTCGTCAACATAATGCATCGTTAGGATGCGTAAAGCGGATATTGTTACAAATTCTCATCAGTCTGATAATTCTTATCACTGCTATATATATATATATATATATATATATATATATATATATATATATATATATATATATATATATATATATATATATATATATA